GATGAAGATGAAGATGAAGATGAAGATGAAGATGAAGATGAAGATCAAGATCAAGATCAAGATCAAGATCAAGATCAAGATCAAGATGAATATAAAAATAAGAAGACTGTTATGATCGACCTGTAATTCTCACAGGAGATTTCAACGTAAACTTTTCGCTTGCCGAATACATGTATGATGAACTGACAAAATTTGTGAAAGAAAACTTTTCATTGGAAATGATTATTGGTAGATATATTCCAACAACCAAATTACCGACTACCATTGATGCAGTTTTTCTAGAAATATTAATAATATTGAAATAAAACTTTTTATATCTTACTTTAGTTACCACAATCTACTAGTTAATATTGTAGATATGCATGTTTTCTCAGCCAAAAATAATAATTAAACTTAGCAATTGGTTATAAAAAATAAAAAATTAAAGCTCGTTAAAAAATTAAAATAAATATGTATTTAGTGTATTAGAAAATATGTATATGTGTATGTATATCACACATTTCTTTCTTTCTGAAATTCCTCTATTAAGTTTCACTTCTTCCGCGCGTAGGGACTACACGCACTTTTTTTACCCATTCTGTATTATGATATTATTCGTTATTTATAGATAGTGGTAGTAAGAGGAGCGTATTTCAGTACCAAGTTTCGATTCCCAGTCAAAGCAAAATCCCAAAAAAATTGCATATAATTATTTCGAATCAGCAAGGGGCAACCTCGAATTTTTTTTCTCGATGAAAAAGCTTTTATAAAATCCATTTGCCGTTCGAAGGCGGCGCACAAATTTGCGAAGAAGCTCGGCCAAATACTTAGCAGAAGTGTACGCACCAAAATATTGTTATTTTTAATCAATAAAAATACATTTATTCATGCAATTTATAATTTTCAATTAACCAAATTGGTTACTGTTTTAAAATCTGTATTTTCACACTTATTTATATAAATTTTGCAGTAGTAAAACTTTTTTTTTGTACATTTGAACTTGAAAGTGAAATCCACTCAGCGTAGAAAGCTATTTTGGCACGAGAAATCATTTCACACAAACAAACAAACAATATTCGCGAGCATATAATGAAGAAAAAAATATCTACATATCTGAATACAAAAATTTTATGTGAAGTAAACTAATAAAAAAAAAAAAAAAAATAATAAGTAAAATAAATAAATAAAATAAAATAAGAAAAACTAATACCATAAAAATAAATGGGGCAATTCATATAAATGCGTGAATACAGATAATTTTTTGCCAACAAACAAACTTCAATTTTCTTATAAAAATTTAGAGGAGCTCCTAATTTCTTTATGATTTAATGATCCAAACCAAACCACCCCGGTGGTACCAACTTTCAGAAAAACAAAAAATTATTAGAACGGTTACGGTACGAATACAGGTTATACACAAGATCTTCAAATTTACTAGGCGGAATACACGGTGCGTCTGACACGCGGGTCAGTTTGGATGTGTTAGTGAAAATAAATATCTGTCATTTACACCGAAATGACTCTGTCATGACTCTGAGTGACTCAACTGTTTATAGTCGAAAAGCGAGTCAACACGTACACAGATGACTCGCAAGTCAGACGCACCGTCTATGGGGCCTATACGACAGATACATTTTTTATTTTTATTTTTTCTTTCTACCACAATGCAAATACATATGTATTTCGAATTCAAGCAGTGTGATGATGCATATTTAAAAAGACATCTGAGCAATCCATCTGCCCACAAGAAATCAATAAAATAATTAAATACTAAAATGTAAAAATAATAAATGCTGCCAATGGCAAACTGCAAACTCACCAATACAAATAAAGTTGTGCGTTCGCATTTTCTTGCAATATTTATATTTTTTCATTGTCAAACGAAAATATATATGTAAATATATAAACATAAATATTTCAACAGCAAATTTTCAACATCAAGGCTGCAATT